CAACGCGATCTGTCGTTGTAATCTTTCTGAGCTTCCCCTAGCTTGGCTGGCCACTTGACAAAAGGCTCATCTTTTATTTCGCTCAAAATTCGATATATTGGCTTTTTGAACACCGTTGTTATGGCAGTGCGGATTCTCAACCATCTTTTGTCTGGGTCTTCTCCGTTATCTCGTCTGCCACGCCCGTTTCTATTCTGCCGATCTACTGCATTGACTTTTGCTGAGGTCTTCTTTTCCGGTACTGCGGTTGCACTAGATTTTGCTTTGGCACGTACGCCATCCTCTTCTACCCTGATGTGCTGATGCACTCTCTCCATCAGGGCTTCCATGGTAAGGAGTGGCGTCATGGTGATCGAGTCCCTTAGTCTGTTTCCGACTGGAAGGCCTCATTTATACTGATGGTGATCGAGTCCCTCAGTCTGTTCCCAACTGGAAGGCCTCTTTTATATTGTGCAATGGCGAGATTGGTAGGGCAGTCCCCTATCTGATTGAATGTCTCCCAGTAGCGACTGTTATAAGATCTGAGGGTCTCTTTTTCACCCATGTCGATGGAGAGAAGCTGGTCGATCTCCACCGGGGTTTTAGTGTTCGTTCGAAACCTTGTTACGAATGCTTCTGCCAATTGCGCCCAAGAGGCTATGCTGCCCTTAGGAAGTTTCTCGAACCAAGTCAGGCCGAGGTCGCCAAGACTTGATGGGAAGAGTATGCACATTAGGGCCTCGTTTCGCCTGTATACAGCCATGACTTGGCGAAAATGACTTAAATGTGAGTATGGATCCGTCTTCCCTTCATATGTAGTGAATTTCGGCTGAAGGAAGCCTGATGGTAGGGGCGCATTTTCGATCGCTGGAACAAACGGTGAAGTCTGTAGCCTTGCTAATGCCTTGTCCGTCGGTTCATAGGCAGGGCGCGGTATTGGCATTCTAACTTCGACGCTTCCATGCGTCCGAGGAGCCAACCGCTGCAAGGCTGAAACTCTATGTGGATCCCTTGCCCTGGCATCCTCCTTGCATCGTGCTTTCTCTTCGAGCACGGTTCGTAAGTCGGATGATCTGGGTAATTCCTTCTGTTTAGATCTGGTTTGGTGCGAATGCGAGGGCCAATATATGCTTCCTTCAGTGTATGACCTTTCAGATCTCGTCCTCTCAGACCTGGAGTGACGAGTTCTGGAAGACCAGGATTGAGTGTCGCCTGTCCTGAGGCTTCTGCTCTCTCCTTGCGAGGGTGTAGTATTCCTACTACGATTTTTTGAGTGGCGAGGGGGCATCTTGTTTTTGCGCCCCTCTACTGTCGCCACTTCTTTTTTCTTCATCTAGCGTTTCATGGCCTCCATGTCTGCCGCCATCTTTCTTATCAATTCATCTTGTTCTTTCACGCGGTCTTCCAGAGCTTGAGGGTCAATCCTCCGTCTTTGCCTGTCTGGACTTTGTGAATGAGAGCGATGGGGGCTGTTATTCCGCCTTCCCCTAGCATCCCTCCTGGAGGTATGCCGTTGGGGCTCCAAGTCCGCCATGGGAGGGACAGAAGGTAATCCTTCACGCCTTGCGCCCCCTTCTGGAGTTAGTCCGTCGACGGCGGACTGCGGCAATTCTTCAATGTGTGCCATTGAAAGTAAAGGGAAGAAGCTTTAATCAAGAGGATTTTGTTCTGTCTGTCTTTCCCACAGACGGCGCCAATTGTACGGGGAAGAAATAATTCTCCTCGTATAATCCTGTTGACTAAATCCGCACTCCTCCGTACGACGTCGCTTTGTTGAGTGTCGCCTGTCCTGAGGCTTCTGCTCTCTCATTGCGAGGGTGTAGTATTCCTACTACGATTTTCTGAGTAGCGAGGGGGCGTCTTGTTTTTGCGCCCCTCTACTGTCGCCACTTCTTTTTTCTTCATCTGGCGTTTCATGGCCTCCATGTCCGCCGCCATCTTTCTTATCAATTCATCTTGTTCTTTCACGCGGTCTTCCAGAGCTTGAGGGTCAATCCTCCGTCTTTGCCTGTCTGGACTTTGTGAATGAGAGCGATGGGGGCTGTTATTCCGCCTTCCCCTAGCATCCCTCCTGGAGGTATGCCGTTGGGGCTCCAAGTCCGCCATGGGAGGGACAGAAGGTAATTCTTCACGCCTTGCGCCCCTTTCTGGAGTTAGTCCGTCGACGGCGGACTGCGGCAATTCTTCAATGTGTGCCATTGAAAGTAAAGGGAAGAAGCTTTAATCAAGAGGTTTTTGTTCTGGCTGTCTTTCCCACAGACGGCGCCAATTGTACGGGGAAGAAATAATTCTCCTCGTATAATCCTGTTGACTAAATCCGCGCTCCTCCGTACGACGTCGCTTTGTCACTTGAAAACACAAACGTGAGCTAGCCGGCGTGTGTGTGCCGGAAACCTCTCTGATGCCTAAGTCAGAAAACTTGACAAATAGACAAAGCTCAATGTATTCAGGAAGCAAGATTGTATGTTGTGTTATGTTACCTCCTCCAAGGTGATGCTTGTAAGTTTTTATAGGTTTCGAGTGGCACAATCCTAGTAGGACTTTTATTTCTCCATGCAGAGTCCTCCTAGGATTCATACTCCTAAAGGATAATGCTTATCCTTTTACACCCCCCCACTGCTTAAACCAAGTGGGATGGTTTTTACTACTGCCGAACTACCATTTAACTGAAGTAAACTGGCTAAGCTGAGCCACAAGGTAGGCCGAACTATCCTTAGTTCGGCCCTTCCTTTTACTCCGTATCTCGGTTCTCCCATGTATGAACCATGATATGTTGGGACCGAGCTACCGAGTAACAAGGTCTTGACCGATCTATCCAGAATACGCCATGACCGGACTAACTCGGAGACCGGACTAACTCCAAGTTGTCCAAACCGAAGTAGCTTTACAATTCCTAAGCCGAAGTAACTTCATCTCTTTTGACTGAAGTAATTTATCTTTCTCGGGCCGGAGTAACTTCTCGGCCCTTTTTTACCCAGTCCGTCATACTTTGGGCCATAAAGTCCATCTCATAGCTCGGCCCAATTTTCACCAAAAATTACCCTCTCAATGATCATAGAATAATTGAGAATAATATTCAAGATTTTAAAATTATTTGACCTAAAATGACACAAGAACTGAAGTATGATAACTGTTATTGTAAATTGGTCAAAAAAAAGAAAAAAAGAAAAAAGAAAAAAAAGATGTTGATTCCATTTTACTATATTCAAATATTAACCAATATGACTGCCTATTCAATGGGTAAGAGGTGATATTTAAACACAAGATTACATGTTTTAAATAATATTTAATTATTTATATTTAGTTTTATTATTATTATTACAGAACGGAGTAACCTAATTATTTATTATTCCTCAGCATATACTTGATATATAAGCCAGATTTTCAACAAGTTAGATGGATACATGGATTAATTTAATCAAGTTTTTTAGCAGAGGAATAGGTTGAATCTGTGCCTGATGCTGCTGGGGGTTTGGGTTTGCTTGTTTGCTGCTGCTGTGATTTTTGTTCTTGTCTGTTGGTGTTGCCCCTGTGGGTTTAGGTGCTGCTACAGTAGTAATTTTTTGCTGTTGCCCCTGTGGGTATAGGTTGGTCTTCACTCTGTTTTGCTGCTGCTGTATGTCTGTCTAAACTCTTGGTGTTGCTTTGTGGTTTTCTTTGTTTTGGTTGGTTCCTTTTGGTTGGTTTCTCACCAACTTGTTGTCATGTTAGCAGATGATTGGGCTAGTTTATTGGTGCCAACCTTTATGGGATCAATTTACTTTGCTATGATGCTTTCGCATATAACCTTTTATGGATGTAATTGTGTTTACTATCAATAAAGTTCTTTGTTTGCTGATAAAAAGAAAAGATTAATTTACTCAATTTAAGTGAATAACGGCTGGCCAAATGGTACTAGCTCAGAATCAAATATGAAAGATGATATTTTTAATCTGTTACTATATATATAGATAGTATTTTCAAGGAATACAAATATATAAATATATATATATATAGTAGAAAAAAGGTGAGAGTGGCTATGAATCCTATAGTGGAGAGATGACACAAAAAAAGAAGGGTGAATTGCAAAAAAATGATATCAACACAAAATAATTGTAATATCATGTAAGTACAAGCAATTCATGCATTAATCTTGTGCTTTCACATCTTTGCAATTATTTCGAATTTATACCATTTTCTTGCAATTGTCCAAAAAAAAAAAAAAAAAAAATTACCCAACCCCAACCTGGCCAGTCTTGACCCTCCCAACTCTAATAAAATGAGTTTACGAGCAAAAATTACAAACCCTATATGGTTCAGGTTGCGTGTAGTGGAGGGTAATCCCGACCTAATTATGTATATTATTATAAAAATATCTTATTTGTTTTAAATATATTTATATTATGGTTTGGTAAAATAAATTGATTCTAGGATTTTTTTTTCTCTCCTTTGTTTTATGTTTTCTAGATATTGTGATCCTTCTGTCTCACTTGAATCAATTTCGAAAAACACCACATTGTTATATCAGTCCGTAGGTGTGCTCGAGTGTGGATAGCGGTTCAAATGAAGATACTTTTGTGGAATATTAGAGGGTTGGGTCGGCCAGAAAAGAGGGCCAAAATCAAGAAATTAGTAAAGGAGAGGAAAATTGGAATGCTTTTCTTGCAAGAATAAAAAAGATTGGTGTTATCAGAATGGGATATTCGATCTATTTGGGGACGTGCTCGGTTTGAATATTTGGAGGTTGGATCACAAGGAAGTTCGGGTGGCTTAATTTGTGTATGGGATCCTGACTTTTTTCAATTAAAGGAGTGTTGTGGTAGTAGGAATTTCCTTCTTTTGCAAGGTACTCTCTATCATTCCTTCAATTGTGTTTTGATGAATGTGTATGCTCCTACTGATGTAAGTAAGAGGGGGAGGATGTGGGAAATTATAAAACAGGTTAGAAATAACTTTCCTAGCCCGTGGTGTCTGGGGGGGGGGATTTCAATGAAATTGGACAGATTAGTGAGCGTATAGGTGTGTCAAGAAGGGATAGGGGTATGAGAGAATTCAACGCCTTCATTGATTCCTGTGAGCTCACAGATATACCAATGGCTGGAAGAAAATATACATGGTGTAATAATCAGGAGAGTGCGAGATGGAGTAGAATTGACAGGTTTTTGTTGGACCCAGAGTGGATGGTAAGCTTCAATATCAAATTGTGGGGATTACCTAAAATTGTTTCTGACCATTGCCCAATTTTGTTAATGGAGGACGAAAGGGATTGGGGTCCTAAACCATTTAGATTTTTAAATGCCTGGATCATTCATCCTTCATTCTCTAAAGTGGTAAGGGAGGCATGGGAAGAGACACAAATTACTGGGTGGCGTGGTTTTGTAATGCTTCAAAAGCTCCAACTAGTTAAACAAGTTTTGAAGCGTTGGAACAGTGAAGTGTTTGGAGCAATATCTGTGAAGTTACAAAGTTCTGAGGAGAAATTACATGAATTTGATTTGTCAACTGAAACTAGAGAGCTATCTAATGGGGAGAAAGTGAGTAGAAGGGAAATTAGAGATGAGGTATGGAAATTAAGTAAGATGCAAGAATGGATTTGGCTTCAAAAATCAAGGTTAAATTAGGCGCTCAAAGGGGATAAAAATACCAGATATTTCCATGTCATGGCAAGCTGCAGACAGAATAGAAATGCAATTGGCTCTCTGAGATTTGATGGATTTGTTTATGATGAGCCAGTCCGAGTTAAATATGATGTGTTTCAATTTTTCAAAGCTCATTTCATGGAAGTGTGGAGTTCAAGGCCAAAACTGGTGGGAAGTTTAAATCTATTGGTAGCATAACAGCAGTGGAATACATTGAGGCAGAATTTTCTAAGGCAGAAATTTGGGCAGCAGTGAGAAGTTGTGGTGGTAATAAAGCTCCGGGGCCAGATGGATTTAATATGTTGTTTTTTCAGAAATGTTGGAAGGTTGTGAAAAAAGAGGTAATCCAGTTTATCCAAGACTTTCATCGGTATGGTAAATTGGTGGTTGTGATTAACAGTTCTTTCATTACTCTAGTGCCTAAGAAGGACAATCCTCTTAGTCTTGGGACTACTGACCAATAAGTTTAATCAGGTCTGTATACAAGATTCTCTCTAAGGTCTTGGCTAACCGGTTAAAGTTGGTGATGCCTAGAATTATTAGTGAAGAGCAGTCAGCGTTTGTGGGTGGTAGAAGTATCCTAGATGGGATTTTAATTGCCAATGAAATTGTTGACTGGTGGAAGAAGACTAAAAAGCATGGTATTATACTGAAACTTGATTTCGAAAAGGCTTATGACTCAGTTAATTGGTCCTTTCTGCTATCTATGATGAAGAATTTTGGCTTTGGAGAAAAGTGGCTGACTTGGGTGCAAGAGTGTATCTTGAATACTCGAGTCTCAGTTCTTGTGAATGGTTCCCCCATATCGGAGTTTAGCCCATCTTGAGGCCTTAGGCAAGGGGATCCTCTCTCCCCTTTCCTTTTTAATATGGTAGCTGAGGGCCTTAACATCTTGTTGACCAGGGCTACGGAGATAAATCTATTCAAGGGTGCTGTTCTTGGGGCTAACGAAGTTTTAGTGTCCCATCTTCAATTTGTGAATGATTCAATTATATTTTGTGAGGCAGAATGAGAGGAAGTGGTGAATATTAAGAGGATTCTTAGATGCTTTGAATTGATGTCTGGGCTCCGGATCAATTATCACAAAAGTGTGATTTCTGGCATTGGAGTTCAAGATACCTGGTTAGAGGAAATTGCCAGTAGGCTTAATTGTAAGTATTAAAAGCTTCCATTTAAGTATCTTGGGATGCCTCTTGGGGCTAATCCAGGAAGATTGAAGACTTGGAAACCTGTTGTGGATCGAGTCAAAGTCAAGTTGGCCAGTTGGAAAAGAAAGTTCTTATCCCTTGCAGGAAGACTAACTCTTATCAAAGCAGTTTTATCTAGCCTCTCGGTATACTATCTCTCCTTATTTAAGATGCTTGAAGGAGTTGCTAAAGAGCTAGACAAAATTCAAGCTGTTTTTCTATGGGGTGGATCCGTGATTAAGAGCAAGATTCACATTGTTAAATGGTCTGCAGTTACTAAAAGTATTATTAAAGGAGGGTTAGGCATCAAGAGTCTTAGGGATGTGAACGCCTGCTTGCTACTTAAGTGGTGGTGGAGGTTTGCCGGTGATGAAAAGTTGTTGTGGAAGAGAGTTTTATGTGGGAAACATAACATTCAGGGCAGCAAGTGGTATCCAACTACAGAAGCCACCCAGATGCATTCCCGGGTATGGAAGGATATTCTCTCGGTGGCAACTTACACCCCTGCCTTGCACAGTTTCTATATCAGCAATACTTCCATCTTGGTGGGCAATGGAGATAGAACTCTGTTTTGGGAGGATAAGTAGGCTGCTGTTAGATGTTTAAAGGACGAGTTTCCTCGATTATATCGTATCTCTCTTGATAAGTTGAAAACAATTAAGCAGGTGATTGAATTCAATTAAGCAGGTGGTTGAATTAAGAAGGAGCCTACATGATTGGGAGGTATGCTTCAATAGAAGGCTCCGAGATTGGGAGAAGGAAGAGGTGGTTCGTTTGGTCAATTTGGTAAATAACATTTCGGAGTTAAGAGCTGATAAGGTTGATGCGTTATGTTGGAGGGCTGAAAAATTGGGGTGTTTCAGTGTATCATCTGTCTATAGGTGGTGTGAAAACAGCCTACAACCTACAGATTTTGGTACAATCTCCAAGATGATTTGGCAGAGTGTCTCTACTCTTGGAGCAAAAGCTTTTGTGTGGTTAGCTTGGCGGCAAGGGTTAAAAATGTCCTCTTACCTACAGCGGATTGGTGTCATTCCGACTGCTGCTAATACTCAATGTGTGTTTTGTAAAGCTGAAGCGGAGTCGGTTAATCATGTTTTGTTGTGGTGTCCCTTTGTTTGGCGGGTGTGGGCTGATATATTTTTCTGGTGGGGATCTTAGTGGGTTATGCCAGCAATAGTGGATGGAGTTTTACAGTTTTGGGCAGGTTTTTTAGGTAATAGATTTGAGAGAAATGTCTGGAATGTTTTACTTATTGCTACCTTCTGGTCTATTTGGAAACACAGGAATGGGGTGTTGTTTTCTGAGGTGCAACCTGATCTGTTTGGTCTGTGTGATATAATCAAAACCGGGATTGCTTTGTGGGTAAGAGCTGCTAATGTGAAGCTGCCCTTTTCAGTCAATGATTTTTGAGTTAAGAGCTGATAAGGTTGATGCGTTATGTTGGAGGGCTGAAAAATCGGGGTGTTTCAGTGTATCATCTGTCTATAGGTGGTGTGAAAACAGCCTACAACCTACAGATTTTGGTACAATCTCCAAGATGATTTGGCAGAGTGTCTCTACTCTTGGAGCAAAAGCTTTTGTGTGGTTAGCTTGGCGGCAAAAGTTAAAAACGTCCTCTTACCTACAGCGGATTGGTGTCATTCCGACTGCTGCTAATACTCAATGTGTGTTTTGTAAAGCTGAAGCGGAGTCGGTTAATCATGTTTTGTTGTGGTGTCCCTTTGTTTGGCGGGTGTGGGCTGATATATTTTTTTGGTGGGGATCTCAGTGGGTTATGCCAGCAATAGTGGATGGAGTTTTACAGTTTTGGGCTGGTTTTTCAGGTAATAGATTTGAGAGAAATGTCTGGAATGTTTTACTTATTGCTACCTTCTGGTCTATTTGGAAACACAGGAATGTGGTGTTGTTTTCTGAGGTGCAACCTGATCTGTTTGGTCTGTGTGATATAATCAAAACCAGGATTGCTTTGTGGGTAAGAGTTGCTAATGTGAAGCTGCCCTTTTCAGTCAATGATTTTTTATATAACTTTTAACAAATTAAGTTTTGTCGAAGAGGGGTTGGCTGAAGCTGTGCCTGGAGTTTCTTGTTGTTTCTTTTCTCCTCTGTTAGGTGTTGTTCCTGGAGTATATTTTGGTGTTATTTTCTTTTCTTCTTTCCGGATTTTGCTGCTGCTTGTCTGCTATGTCTCTGTTGTGTTTTCTTTCGGACTATGTTGTGCCTCTGCTGGGGTTATTCTGCTGTGCCTGACTTCTTTTACTAAGGTGTATGCTGTTATCCTCCTCTATTTCCTGTTAGTTTTCCTCTTGTTGGTTTCTCACCAACGATTGTATTACTAGCGGATGTTCGGGCTAGCTCATTGGTGCCAAGTTTGTTTGGTGTCAATTGCTATGCTTATGATGTTTGGTGTTCGTTTTTTTTATATATATATATTCTCTTTTGTTTGTTGATAAAAAAAAAATATCATCCTAAATTATAAAACCACAATAAAATTCAATGTTGAAAATATATGTTACAAAAGTTCGGATAGAAGGGAAGGGGCTTAGTGGATAGGATTAAGTACCGAAGCAATATTCATTAAACAGGGTGGAATAGAATTCCTAATTAACCCATACTTACCTGTTGTCATCCTTATATATAGTGGGATTTATTATTTTAAAATTTAAAATTTCCGCACATATTGTAATGATGAAATTTAACTTAAATATCACATCTGATAATAAAGTGTTTCAACCCTACTTGAGAGAAGCCAGCCAAAGAAACAAGCAAGCAATGGAGGCCCAAAGTGTGCCCTATTCTTGTGGTGTTGTGTTTTGTGTGTACCATGGAACCTAGATGCCATAGGGGGACCTCTTTTGATAACAGAGTCTCATGTGAGGTGTCCTATACGCTTAACTAACAGCTACTCCTCATATTATATGAGGCCCCCATGACCCAAAGCACTTTCTTTTCAAGAGAAAGAGAGAGAGAGAGAGAGCGCTCCTTCCATCCTACTTGTACACTACACATGGTATACATGAAGCCCCCTTTTTAAGATGAGAATATATTAATCTAATATCTTAATTGTCTTTATTTGAACACCCTCTACGTCTTTCTTGCACTTAGTTTCAAGCCAACTGTTGGTACTAAAATTTAGGAATTTTCCATCGACGAAATGCTGGCAAGGCATAGTGATGACGTGGCAAGATTGACTAAAATAGATGACGTGGCATAAGATTGGGTTGAAGAAAGAAGGATACGAAGGATGATGACAGAGAATCAAGGAAGAAATCAAAAATCTCATGAAACAGTTCCTAAAATGTGGAGATAAACATGAAGAAATGCAGAGAATCAAGGAAGATCAAAATCAAAAGCCAGGTCAGAAGTCAAGTATAAAAGGGAGCTAGATGCAGAAGAATCAATAATCTTAACCACCATTCACAAAATGTGATATTTATCTAGAAGTAGTTTAACTTAGCATTTGTTAGGAGTAGATTAGTAATAACTTTTTCCAACCCCCATTTCTCTTCTTTCTGTCGATTGTTGTATATTTCATTTTTTTTTTGTTCTTGTTTGAGTTCTTGTAACTAACTGATAGCAAGTGGCAATTTAATTAAATAAATACATATTATTTTTTGTTCAAATCCTTCTTTACTTAATTATCTCCAGGAAAGTCCTTAATCTGTTTGAGACATTGTAACATGCCCGGAGGGTATCCGTGCGTGTTAAACAGTTTGGACCCTTGATTTCTTTGATTTAGTCTCACGAGTGCAATATGAAACATAGATGAGAGTCTAGATTTATCAACTTATATAGAAAATTCATTTTATTACAAAACTTTTGCTAGAAATGGACTACATCACCAGATCTTAGAGTCGCTACCTAGTATTTTAGAAAAATTACGAAACCCGTGACTTGTGCCAAGGCCACTATTAGTTGTAACCAAGAATGCTTGACTCGAAACCTTAAGTATGAGAGGGAAAGGTCTTCAATTGAGCATCATAGCTCACCCAATCAAAGATCGACCTATACTAAACAATGATATGAGTTTTATTTACTTTATATGTTCATATCCCGATTATTTACTAAATCTTAAAATTTATTATGTGAAGCATACAAGTATAGACTATATCATTCACTTTAGAACAACTTGATTTCATGTATTTTGAAAGAGTTTTAAAGATGTATAACTCAAAAAAATTAAGTTTACAAATATGAAAATCAATGTCATTCCAAATTAAGCGACACAACCTCAATCCACTGGCATTCATACAGTTATATCAAGCAAGCAAGTAGCCACATGGTGGGATGCTTAAACATAGTAAGAAAAACATACTCAAATGGGATGCTAAAGTATAAAAATTTACAAATTTACCGACGTCCCGCAAACAGTTACAAAAAAAGTTAGTAAAACATGCATGATCTTATATACAAAATCCTAATACAATTCACTCATGAAATGCAACTAAAGATTCGGCTTCTAATATATGACATGTGAATCATCTCAAGAACATGAGGTAGTACACATAATCACATAAGAATTGATTAAATCCATAGATACAAACTTAGCTGAATCAAGATGCATGAAACATGGATGCAAAGCATGGATATAGTGAAAAGCAAAGTATGATGCTTATATACAAATAACAAAAGTAAGTAAAAGAACGGAATAGAAAGAAGCGGGGTAGGGAATTATTACAACACTTGAATAAATAATTACAAACCAAATGAGAGAGAGTAAAAAAAAATATTATAACAAAATAAAAATCTTACAAAGCTCTCAAATGAAAATAAAAACCAGAAACTTCATATTCAGAATTTCTCCATTCTAATCTCACAGTTGCTTTCGGAACGGTCTGTTTAGCTAGGAAGAAGTCTTCCTGCCTAAAAAACAGCCCAAAATTATTTTTCTTATGGAATATTCCATTAGAGAAAGGAATATTTCGTCAAGGCAGAGAATATCCCCTCTAGATGTAGAATATTCTGTTAGTGTTGACTGGTACGCTTGCTAGCGATTCTGGTTTAGACTCGACTCATTTTGTATTCTGGACTTGGGTTTCATGGTTTCGTATTGTTGTTCATGTTTTACTTCCTTTATTTTTCCTTGAGTTGGGTATTGGGTTGTATTGGTTGCGTTTGGAACAGGTAGGTAGCTTGGTTTTCAAACTTTTGTTACCTAGAATTTTACTCCTCTGCTCGAGCGTCACTTCTTGCGCTTGAGCAGACTTTGTGAATTCTCAGTAGTTTTGCAGGTTCGCAAAACTACTGGGAGAGTGTATTTTATGCTCGAGCGGTGCTTTCTGTGCTCGAGCGGTGCTTTCTTGCGCTCGAGCATTGGTTTGCTGTCTGCAAAACTACTAGAAGTGTGTATTCTATGCTCGAGCGTCACTTTTTACGCTTGAGCGGAACAACTTATTGTGTCTGGACGCTCAAGCGTCACTTTTTGTGCTTGAGCGGACTGTGTGTATATCAGTCCGTAAGAATTACTTTTTACATCAATTTTTCTTATCCCTCTCTCTAAAATTTCTAAAAACCCTAGATCTAGAGTTTCTCTCTCTAAAGCTCCATCTCTCTCTATATTTTCACCTAGATTTAGTAGTTTCTCTACCCATGTGTATCACGACCCAAACCCGTCCCTATAAGTTTAGCGTTGTAACCGGTCAGTAATTCTTGGATTACCAAAGGCCTTTGAATAGAATAGCTTATAATTAGGGATTGCAGAAGCAAATATAGAAACATATATAGTCCATTGAGCTGTGGAGACGTATATGGGACAAAAATTTTAATCCTTTATACACATATACGTGACATCATATTGTAGTAGTCTCACGTCACATTTATTACAAATATAGCCAAAAAGGGACTTAGCCCAATATACAGATAACAGAAAACTTGTTCATAACCCAAAAGAAAACAAAGCCTTTACATTCACAAAATATGACCATAAGACGTATGGAACCTCCTCGGAAGGCACAAAGGTTGGCTGACAAAAACTCTCCAGGCGGTCATCACTAAGCCTGGCCACGCGTCTGATTACCTACATACATAAATAATAGAGTGAGCGGAAGCCTAGTGAATAATAGTAAAGTAAAGAGTTTAATGAATGATGTCCATCTCAGAGTTAGAAATCAGAGTTTATATCAGAAACAAATTCTTATGTATATTCAGATTTCAATTAGAAACAGATTCAGATTCACATACTTATTTAGAAATCATAAACAGTTATAGGTGGTACATCAATTAGTTATCATATCAACTTGGTCCTGAGACCCACATGCATAGTCAGTACTGACGACCATAAAGGTCCATATCTTGCGAGCAAGTAGCCATGGTATTGTTACCCCTAGGCGAGGGCCACATGAATATAAGTGTAACAACCCTCGTCTGTTTACCGATTAACCACTGATTACTGCTAAACTAGGATTGATTATGAT